TTCCCTGTCTAGTTGCCTTTAGTGCTGTAACAGTTGTAGTCTACAGCATAAATAATAACTGCCATATGAAGTAAAAGGAATACTGTGAAAGGGGGAGCGCTCTTGTACAGCCAGGTCGTCTAATAAGGAGCTATGCATTTTCACAATCTCTACTTAAATAGGTATTTACATACCACAGTAGGCCTTCATTCTACATATTTACAGCTTTTCTGTTTTCCGGATGAGCTAAAAGAATTTCATGCTTAAAGTTAAATGTGGTCTTTGCCAATTAAATCTAAGACATCACATTAGTGATTTAAATATCATTACTATGTTCCTGAGGTATTGTTTGCTAATGGTAAGTCCTGCATTAGACATAAGTGTGCATTTGTGATTGTGTATTCATTCCATTATCAACACTGACCAAACTTAGAAATAGTTGTCTTACTAAAAAGGGAGCTTGTACAAAGTCTTGAGCCAACAGAAGTCCCATGATCGATGGTGCATTTACCTTTTATTGTGCCATAATATATCCATGTAGAAAAGCTTTTTTCTTCCTTGAACTGTATTTATTGCCACACTTCTCAAACTGATCCCAGTGTATTTTTATAAATAAATATTTTTTCTTAAAGGTATGTAGAAGATCCTGTCTCATTTGTTGTGCTACCGTTCTTAAAGATTAGATACCGCCGAAATTATTCCCAAATCAGCATCACCTTTGCCCGCGTTAAGGGTAATGTAGAACTGCTGTCTGTTGCAGTTCAGGTTTGTTCTTTTCCATGGGATTTAATCTAACAACCTTGTAAAAAATCTCCTGGGAGCGAGTGACAGTGACTTAACAGGAAAGGAATGTAGCTCCTTTACAGCAGAGTTCACTTCCCCTCTACAGGACGGACTGTGAGGTTATGACCAGAGAACCTTAGCCATTCGCTAAATCCCTGCCCTTTTCTCAAGACAAATGTGGAACTGCACATACTGAACGCTGCCTCTGCTTCAGGGTATAGTCTTCATACCACCACTCTGAGAACTCAAAACACGCTTGCTTTAGAGTATGTAAAGAGATATCCTGATCTTTGCGCCTACTGGTCTGCAATCTGAGTTTAGTTACCGACAGTTGAGCTTTATTCCTAAATGGAAAATGCTTTCTTCCTCACTGTGGAGTGCAGACAGGCTGTACTAATTTAACTGGGCTGTTTTTAACAGGAGAAAAAAGAGCATGTTAACAAGGGGGCCACTGTCATTGATACTATCTTTTGTTAAAAGGTATTTTAGAAGTATTTCCTGCAGATTAAACTTAATTATGTTAACATATAAAATATTTCTTACTTGCAAGTTCTGGACTTGTGAAGGCTTCTTCCCTCAAAACTAGAAACTGTTTGTGCTATGCTCCATTGTTATCTTTGGGTGTGAAGTGGTGGTCTGACTTTCAGCTGACCAATTTGTTGAACAAGTCTTAAGTTTATTTATTTCACAGAAATTAAACTTGAAAGAACCTCTGGACGTCACTGGTCCAAGCCCCGCCTCTGAGGGTGGAGAATTGTTACCAAGATGTCTGTTAAGACCTGCTCTTCCTCAACTACACTACTTCCCTCCTTCAAAGTAACAGTATTTAACAATTTAGAACTATTTTATTGAATGCTGAAAAGCAGTGCTATGATCAACGACAAAAGCTTTGTTGGTGTCATAGTTTGGGTGAAAGCAGATTCTCTTTTTTTAAAGCCTGAACCATGCCCTCCTGCTCTTTCCGCATCCAAAACTTAACAGTTTACCCTGCTTGCACACATTTATTCTGTATGTACTTCAAGAAAGGAAACAAAACAACACAAAAACTGTTCTCAATATGCTTGTTTTCTTTCATCCACAGGGGTGTCCAGTGAGGTGAGTTAAGTTAGAGCTTGAAGTAGACACCAAGCAAGACCAAATTCAAACTGCCTGGCTTAAAACAATAAGCTGTAACACTTAGCCATTTCCTAGTATACAGACACCAGTAGTCCCCATCTCCTATTTTTAGGAATATAGTTATAAAAGTACCTTTCATTCCTCTGAATCCAATCTTCTATAGCTTCAGGAAAGAAGAGACACAATATTGGGCTGTTTTACAGGGCAGACATTGAAATACCTGAAGCAGCTTGGAGAAGCATCAGTACCCAAGCTAGTACTATGTATTCACATGAGCTGTGCCTACATCCAACCTCACCACCTCCTTCCAGCCTGCTTTGTAGTTGCCCAACGACAATATCCTGCAGGTGAAGACAGCAATGAGAAACGAGTGCTAAATAGTATCAGCTTCTGTAGGGGTGCTTTATCCCTCTAACTCAGGTGAGGACTCCTGCCACCCAAGAATGCTACAGTTGCAGTTGTTACCACAAGTGCTAGTGGAATGTATGTAAGATTGGGAGATCCTGTGTTGCACCTGAAAGCTATAAAGCTATGCTCTGTGTGCAGAATTTAAATAAAAGATATACATTTGGAACTCTTCTGTAAAACTATATGTGACTCTCAAACATATTGTCAAAGTTGTAATTTCTGAACTATTGGCAGTATAGCATTACTTAAATGAAATACACTCAAATACAGCTTAATTGGGATTTTTCAGTAGCTTCCTTCTTTAAAAAGCAAACCAAACTTTGTAGTAAGTGTCTAAAAGTCCTTTCTCCATCCAGGAACTGCACTGAAGGCAATGATACTGCATCATAATTGCAATGAACAGAATCACAGAATCATTAAGACTGGAAGGGACCTCTGGAGGTCATCTAGGGATTGTCTGAAAATGAGGACATAAATAAAAATTTCCCTCCCTTTCTTCCACCAGAGAGCTCCTGACCAGCTTCACCTGCCAAGCAAAAAGTAATTAATCTATTTCTTTCCCTTTTTCTTCATCTATCCCATATTCCTCAACTTCTTGAAGTGGCTTATATTAAAGTAGACAAACATTAATTAAATGAAGAATAAAAAGGAAGTACTTCTTAGCATTCCCTAGCAGATAACTAGTCTCCCTTCAACAGCAGGAGATCAGATACAGTATTTAGCTGAAACATTTGTCATTCAGGCCATCAATGAGCTCTCCTGCATGTCACTTCCAAGCTGTGACTAATCAAAGGTTTATCGATCTATTCATTATGACAGCTTATGAGTCACTTACCTGCAGTAATGTCTCACTTCCTATACTGATGGGGACTTTACTGAAATCCCTGGTTGAAGTCATCTTCCCACCTCAAACAAAAGGTTAAAGGAGCTTTTGAACAAAGAATAAAGTCATGTGCCACTGAGTAAAATCTAAAACTACCCCACACTCAGAATGAGGTGGAGCCCACAAAAGTGTGTTATCACCAGGGTACAAAGTTTAAACAAACCACAGAATTGCTCACAAGAAAAGGCGGACAGATGCAAGTTATGTTTTTGAAAAATGTCTATGAGAGAGTAGCCCTGAGGAAAAGGACTTGGGAGTGCTGGTGGATGAGAAGCTCAACATGAGCCGGCAATGTGCGCTGGCAGCCCAGAAAGCCAACGGTATCCTGGGCTGCATCAAAAGAAGTGTGGCCAGCAGGTCGAGGGAGGTGATTCTGCCCCTCTACTCTGCTCTCATGAGACCCCAGCTGGAATACTGCGTTCAGCTCTGGAGTCCGCATCACAAGAAGGACATGGAGCTGCTGGAGTGAGTCCAGAGGAGGGCCATGAAGATGATCTGAGGGGTGGAGCACCTCTCCTATGAAGACAGGCTGAGAAAGTTGGGGCTGGTCAGCCTGGAGAAGAGAAGGCTCCGGGGTGATCTTATCGCAGCCTTCCAGTACTTAAAGGGGGCCTACAGGAAAGCTGGAGAGGGACTTTTTACAAGGGTATGTAGTGATAGGACAAGGGGCAATGGATTTAAACTGAAAGGGTAGATCTAGATTGGATATAAGGAAGAAATTTTTCACTCTGAGGGTGGTGAGGCACTGGAACAGGTTTTCTAGAGAAGTTGTAGATGCCCCATCCCTGGAATTGTTCAAAGCCAGGTTGGATGAGGCTTTGGGCAGCCTGGTGTAGTGGAGGGTTTCCTTGCCCATGGCGGGGGGTTTGGAACTAGATGATCTTTGAGGTCCGTTCCAACCCTAACCATTCTATGATTCTATGATTCTCATGTCCTTCTGAGTACAGTCCTGACAGTTTCTTTGCTACAGTCCTCCATAATATTTTATGTTTCACATCCATGTTACAGCTAACATTTCTATAAAGTATTATTTATAACATTCTTTTATCTCATGTCTGTCCAGCCACTCCTTAGGTGCTACTTCTTTCTTAAGCTTTAAATCCAGATACAAATTTTTCTGCTTCCTTTGTCTTTTCAGTTGCAAAGGGAAGGTAGTTGTTTATTTTTATTTACAAAAAAAAAGGACTATTCCTCATCTGCCCTTTGGAGAGGAGCCAGAGGATAGTTTTACCATGCTAACTTGCAAAAAACATTCCCAAGAGAATATATATAAAAGACACCTACCTCATAACCATTAATTATCTCGACTACAGAGAATTTCTATCAATGGTAATTTCCATCAATGAGCTCAGTACAGTTCCTTAATGGGTTGCACTGGCTGTTCAGATTTACAGAATATATCAAGAAACAGTCATCTCAGAGTGCTTGCTCTGCAACTGTTTCTATGTTTACTGAGCCAGGGACAACTGGCCCAGTGGTCCCAGAGAAGCATGAAAAAACCCCATGTTAGCTGACAAAAAGCTAAAGAGGACAGTTCCATGACCTTGTTGACTTAGTATTTTCAGTCAGACAACACAGAAATTTACAAGGAGTTTGTTTATTAACAACTTTCAGATCATCATAACAAGCATATTAATAAAAATCAGATGTGCTGACACACAAAATACATTATTCATACAAACATATTGTGTGTCATTTTACCAGTGCAGAAGGCACAACAGAGATTCAGAGAACTAATGCCTTCTCCTGGGGTATTGGCAACCTTTACCTTTTTTCTATAACTGTTTTGCTATTGCTGGTCTGCCTTCTTGCTTCCTGGTACACTTCACATTCAAGTCTACAAAGAGAAAAAATGAGTCAATGTGTAGCACTAGTCCTGTTAATGCATTTAAATGTCGTAAGATTAAACTGGGAAAACAATTAAGGTTCTTTTGTGTCTCAAATCCACAATCTTCTTGCAGGGAATAACCCCACCCACCTCCCAGTATCTGTGCTTGGCAAAAAAAAATTACTGAAGAATTCAGTAACAAACCCAAACAATGAAAAAATAAAGTACAACTATTTCTCACTGTAGCAATAAACTGAAGCAGTGCTTAGTAGCCCAACTGCCTATAGCAGAATGCCCACAAGACTGTGTGAGAGTTCGCTGGAGTCTGGTACCTCTTGAAAGCAGATGAAAAAAAATCACCAACATCTGTTACACTCCTGTAAGAGGTAGCCAGGAGAACTCCAGACACTAGCGGTACTGTCCAGCAGAAGTAGGTGCCAGAGTAGTAGTTGCTGCAGAATCTTTCTCCAGCAGCCCTGGCTTGGCCCCTCTGATGCTGGGGGAAAATCTGCCCAGATTCTGAACTTGCTGGTGCAGCTTCTTGTGTTGGGCAAGTTGCAGTATTTTTTCAGACGTCAGTTAGCGAGTATTTACTCTCAGGACGTTCTCAAGCCTGGGTGTGGGGGAACACTCCCTTCTGGCACCTCAGTTTTTTCACCCCAGCATAAAACAGAGTAAATAAGTACATACACTGATAGAAAAGAAAGAAAGAAAAAGGGTGGGGGTGGAGAGGGAAGGCATCTACGCTCTGATCTTACAGCTCTGGAACTTCGGCAGTTCCAGCATGAAAGCAAGCAGCCTACCACTCTTCTGACTTGGATAGGATTTATCTCCCACCCCCTTGCCATGGTCTGATCTTTCTCCTTCTCTGCTGGGCATGCTGGGGAATGGGAAGAAGAATGAGAACAGGTATTTGATCTGTCCATTTTGCAGCAGCAGAGGGTTTCCTGAGAAGGGAAAGCAACAGAAAGAGAAAGAGGATACTGGGTACAGCATGTTGATTGCTGGGAAACATCAGCAGGTACATGACAGCCTACATCCATTTTTCTTGGGACACAAAGGCAAACACATTAGCTAGCAGATAAATACATATCCCACACTCCTGTCTCACCATAGGTTGGAGCTCTGTCCCATCTTCATTGTCCTGGAAAGGTTTCATGCTTCTGTGTTTTTGCCCTTCTGTTATCTTGTTACTCTGACTCACAAAAGTCTACAAGCAACAACCAGGGTGAGATCATTTGGGAATGCAAACCATTATGTAAATAAAAATACCTGGTAAAAGCAGATAATTAGCCCGGGGCTAAGAAACTGTAACTAGTTCCTAGCTGGATAACACTGAGTGATACCGGGAGGGACTCTGCAGAGGCACCAAGGTATCACATGCAATTGAGCAGGATGAATCAACAATCTCTGTTACATCCCCTACTACAGCAATGAGGACCCTGGCTGCCTGAAATCCCTCACCCAGCTCTCCACCCACTGCTACATGTTGTCCTGAGTGCCACAGAGCCTCCCTCCCATCTCCAGATGTTTGTAACCTGATTGTAACACAGACATCCCAAGTCAAATGCCTTCATGTATTGGGAAACTCCAAGTTCTTGGCTACATGAGTAAACTCACTCTTGATCATGCAATGACAAGGAGTTTGGATGTACTGCCCCCAGTTTTTCCATACAAGGTTATACAGCCTGCTCTGCTTGGAAGACTCCTTACCCCTGTGGGAAGTCCTCTCTTCACCCAAGGCCCTAGGGCATGGCTAATTACAAGGAATTAAGACCAGAGTTAAAGAGAAACTACCACAAAGTCTGGTAGTGGAGAAAGGAAAGCCTCTGTCTGTTTCATGAGAGAGAATTGGCTTAAGAAGTATTTTAGCATTTGGCAAAACAGAGGGAGAAGAACAGAGGTCAAGGCTTCAGAGTTTTCCATTCAGTAACATATTCCTATTCAGGACATGTGCTTAAGTACTGTTCTGAATCAAGGCCAAAGAATATCTATCTGCTTTTTTTCTGTAAAAAGGGTTAAGCCTATCTTTAGGCTGCCTTTTTGCCATTTTTCGTTTCCAACAAAATTCTATGAACATTACAGGAATCTAACAGCAGCATTAAAAAAAAAAACAAAACAGTTCTGACACTGTCCTGAAGAAATCCATCCAGAAGATTTGTCTCATATGAGCTATTCTGGCTGCTGAGTTTGTTTTTCATGAATCACTAAGATCTTCTTTGTTGCATGGTTTATGAAGGAAAAGACAGAACTGGCAAAAATAGCATGAAAGGAAAAAACATCTGCATCTTCAAATATTCTCTTAATATGAAAGGGATGGCATATATACATTCAAATGCTTCAAATACAGCTATTAACTAAAGCTCTCCATCACTATTAGCTACATGATTCTCCATGGAAATACTTGTAATACAATACAGTAATATGAGGTTAAAGACACAGAACAATCAGTCCAGAGGCAGAAGACAGTATTATGGCAAAAGAATCTATACAGGCATGAAGCAGAGCAACTCAAGTTCGCATGAAGTTTGTTCAGAACTACAGCATCCATAGGATATGGATGGATACCTGACCCGCTGCTGGAAACAAGAAGCTCCCTGTCGTTTGCTTTTGCTCGTCACTGTACAGTAAGTCACAATAAATACAAATATGTAACCTTAGAGTACCCCATGGATCAGTCTCTGCAGCTAGCTCATCTATTTCTATTTTTAATTGCCAACAATATATTGAATATGTATCTAATAAGGCCTAAAAAGTCAGCCATTACTTACAGGGTATGAACTAAAAGAAGGCAGCAGATCATAGCTAGCACGCGGGAGCCTGAGGCAGCCATTTACTTCAGTTCACACATGGTTTGTATCCCTGAGCCCATCCTGTTCTAAAGTGTTAGGAAGGAAATAGCATGGGTTGTGGGTTCAAATTACTAGGTCTTGGGGAAAGAAAAAGCCCTCAAAAGCTTAGAACGGCTCAAATATCTTTGCTGTTATCACTGAAGTTTACCAGCAGCTCCTGATCCATGAAGTATGGCTTCTCTGCAGATCCATCATTTGTTTTCATATCAATAGCACAGCAAAGGAACATGGCATCTGCTGTCACTTCAAACACAGACAGAAAGCTGTGGGACATCAGGTAGGCAAAAAATCCAACCAGCAACAGAGGAACTACCCAAGCTTGCAATTCCCGATGGTAGTTGAATGCCATCAATCCTCCAAAAACAGTAAAACATACAACAAACACCTGTAAAGGGCAGTGAAAGAGAAATGCAGCCTCTTTAATCATGTAGAAATAATACTTAAAAAAAATCAAACCTCCCAAAACTCTAAGGCAAATACATTACAGCCAGAATTTAACAGCACATCTCATCCAGGAGATAGCTATGCAGTTTCTGGCATCACGTAGTTGTCATACTTTGTGTTCAATTCAGTGTGTAAATTCTGTAGGGCAGAGACAGTCTTTTACTATATATTTACCAAAGACTCGTTGCAATGCAAGAGTGGTGCCAGGGACACTACTGTAATACAACTAAATAACTCTGTAAAGACTATGAAAAGGATTAAATTCATCAACCATTATCTCTCTCCTGAACTCATTTTACAGCATTAACAACACTGAGTTCAACAAAGATAAACCTTATTTACTTTAGGTATAAGAAAAGAGAATCAAACCCTGATTTTTCACTTCATTCGTACAGAACAGTCCTTTTTGTACTCTCACCTTTCCGAGAAATAGGATAAAATCTCCAAAACAGCATATGGATGCAAGTTTAGTAGAATTCTTCGCCAAAATAAAGACAGCATCCTTTGCTGATGTACAAAAATTTGTCCCATTTATGGCTGTAGTTGTGTATGCATGCTGAAATGAGAGAGGAAATACTCTTATAATCTAGATTTTACTTCAACAAAATACAAAGACTTAAAGTCAATTTGGAAATATTGTTTTTATGAATATAAAGAGTTATTTTGCATAATACGACAATTTTATTTTAAGTGACTATAACAACTATGTTTCTAACTTCAAATAGTTTTTCTACATGATTTCCACCATTAGCAAATGCTAGAATAGTGACCAAATAAACTTCTGAACCCACCTTTATCCAATTTATTTTAAAACATAAAGTTCTCTACCCTAATTTTTGTTAATGAATACGACACAGTTACCACAGAACACTTACTTACCTGGAGTCACACTATGCAAACTTACTTGCTTATTTTTTATGAATCTATCTCCAAGACTGCTGGAAAACTATGTAAGTAGAACAATCAAGTTATGTAGTTATCAAGTCATTTAAAAGTTGATGATGAAAAAACTTTTATACATGGCCTTTTCAAACTATTCATATGCTACTGAACTTTAAGCTGATGACTATACCCATAAAATAAACATTTTCATGAAAGATGAAATCAATTGTGAAAATGACTGGAAAATAACAGCTAAGGGATCCTTGACTAGATAAGTAAGGAAAAAAAAAAGAATTTCAACAGACAGTAGGGCCACTCACAGTTTTTTGAGGTATTGAGAATTTAGCAAGATTTCTCTTTGTGGAAACTTGCCAAGAGAGATTGGAAGGATGGAATATTTACCTTCATGGATTGCATTATTTTAGCACTTCTTGTGCACAACTTGACGTATACGTCTCATGTATGGAACTCCTCAACAAGGTTTTGTAACTGTGTCCAAAATATCAGCTAAGAAAAACAGTGCTCCAGATACCTGAAATATATGCTGATCTTTACCAGCAAGTCTTATAAGTAGTTTCCCTTTACTTAAAATATTAGAAGGTGGATTATGTCACAAGACATTAGTTACATCTGGTATGGTCAGTAAGAACCACGGTGTGCAAGGGATCACTGTTCTGAAGGAATTTATACACCACAATATGCACTTGATTACAAGTTAGATTACTTTCTGCTTTACCTACAAGTGAAAAAAAAAAAACCAAAACTGGTTTGCTGAAGGTGAATTATACTGGCCTACTGCAAAACACTTCATGTTCAAAAATTTGTTTTTTTTTCACTTAGAAACAAAATTATAAAACTGCTTCAGATACCTAAAGGCAGAGAAAATTTATTTCAGCAGAGTTCAGTTTTTCCCCATAGCAATTTCTATAACATACTGTAGTGTAGCAAACCTTAAAATACTACAGAGAAAGAAAGAAATTAAATGCAGTCAAAGATCATTTGTCTCTTCATTGTGGATATTATTTATTTTATATATGACTAAGGAATTTTTTTTCTCTGATAGTAAGCAAAGAAAGAGTAGAAGTAAACAGTGACATCTTGTAAATATTGTACTTACATAATAGCAAATGCATCCATAGATGGAAAAAGTACAAAGACAAACCATGGATTTACTGCCTACTCTAAGAAAAAAATCCAACGCTCCACTGAACTCTACAGAAACACGTAGAGTATCTCCATAAAAATCTGTTTAAACAAGCAAGTTCACTTCATTCCTAAATAGGAAAAAATGTTTTCTATGCTAACTTTAATTTATACTGACTGATGCTGTTCCTTTCCCTGGAGAGTGCTGGAACAGGACTGGCAGAGAGGTGTACCTGTTGGCTTGGTCAGGCATTGACCGCAATACCTTTGCCTTCTTGGCTGCCTACACCTTTGAAAGAGAAGCATCCTTGTCCCACTTGCCTCACTCAACCCAATCGGTTTGTAAGCAGCCTGCTGCCATCCCGTGTGAGGAAATCCAATGGCCTGCAAGCTCGCTCACAGGAGCATCGCCCCAGGATGCGACAGCAGGGGAGCTGGCAGTTCCGTAAGGCCAGTGCCAGCCTTGCTGGGCTACCATCTCACAAGGACACAGGCGTAGGGCAGATGGCCTCAAGTCAAGCTCCCTCTCTGTCTTCCATCTGTAGCTGTCACTGCCTATTTCAAACATGGACAGACCTATCTTTATAACATGCTGTGAGTTAAGTCTGTTTCATCATTCCCATTAACAGACAGGAAATTGAGACACAAAGTGGAAAAGGGTTTTCTAAGCTTGTTTCTGTCCCTTAAGAACTAAATTCGTAGAGCAGATCCTGATCTGGTGAGGTCAGTATAAATTTTGCCAATAAATTAAACAGAGATTCTGTATTCGTTATAAATAGCAAAAAATGTCCTGTTTTAAAAATTAAAAAGAATGTTGAAAATGCATGTGCACTTGTACAAACATTGTTTCCAAACTTAAAATAAATAACCATTTGTTTGCACTCTTGAATTAGCCACTTTGGTATTCGAGGAATGTGCAATGAAAAGAATTTCTGATATTTATTAACTAGAACAGTTATCTTGGAAAGACTGAAAATAATACTGGAGACTCAATACTACCTGCACAGGGATTTGTCATGTTACAAACTAGTTGATAAAAAATGGCATTTATAACAATTACAACTCCAACAAATCATGTAAGTATCGACTAGTCATAACATCCAAGCAAAAAGGCAGCCAGGTAATAATCTGACATTACAGCAGAAATAAGACAGACACAGAAATGAACTGCCGAAGGCTACAAAACTAGTCACTGATATAGGTGAAGCAAGAATGTTATTAGTACAAGCTGAAGACTTAGCCAAGTGATTTCTACCATTTGGAAAAAAAATATATTTCTGAGAAAAAGGACGGTTTCTTGTTCAGCCTAGACTGTGGCTCCATAGACTTTCCTCACAATTCTCCAGTTTCCCATCCAGCCACACAGAAATCTACATGTTCTTACTAATAAAATACGTCTAACATTTAAGCAAATGTATGTGTTCATAAAACTCAGAGTTGCACAGAAATGAGCTCAAATAATTTCTCATCCTTACCATCCAAAGAACACCTAACACATGCAAGCTATTATTTGGACTTTGGACTTATAAGCTTAGATATCCCATTAATTTCCCAGTTGCAAGGTATATGCAACAGCCCACTCCCTGTCAAAGGAAAGATAGTTGTGAAGGCTAAGATGGTAGACCATGTTCACTTAAGAACTTGCTATCATTAGAAATAGATTATCTAAATGTGCTTTTCTACAGAATGTATTCTCTTTCCCATGCACAAAAGCTTGAAAATGTTTGAGAGAAGTTTTTATCCAAAAGGTAAGGAATGTCTTCTGTCTGCGGAACAACTGACTACACCAGGCTGTTCTGTCTGGAAAAGAGATGACTGAAGGAGGATGCGGTAAGAGGGCTACAAAATCCTGAGAAATGTGGAGAGGGTAAGTAGGGTTAGATGGCTGACTGCTTCTTCCAGAACAAAGACTAGGCAGGGGGAGGACCGGACCATAGAAAATAGTGGGAGCCAAATTTGAAAACAAATGGTATTTCTTCTCACTAAGTCTGAAAGCTGTGAACCACTGGACAAAGGGTGCTTTAGCTGCTGAAAATTCACATCGACTCAAGGGAGACTGGGAAAGTTCAGGGAAAGGGAATCCACTGAGAGTTATTAAACACACAGAAAACATTCTCAGCTCAAGAAGTCCGTAGGCTGAAAACAGATTCAGAAACAGCATGGGGACAGGGAAATACACACTCCTTCTACTTTAACATTCACTCACAGCCACTGTTGGAGACGGGATACTGAGCTAGGTGGAGACACAGTCTGGCCCAATATAGCTATTATGTTTTTTACCTTTGCTTAAGGAATTGATGTTTTACAATGGTAGTCTCTGCTATGGTGACAAGCAAGTAATAATGGCATTGATAGCATACCATTGATCAGAAAGCACCAGAGATAGTGGGTCAGGAACAGTCTTTATCCTTGCACCAGCAAGTTGGTACTGTATCACTACCTTTGTGAAGAACACAAGCCTCCTCTGGCTTGGAGCCTGGGAACTAGACACTAGTTTCTTAGTGTCAGGAGGAATAAATAAGGAATGTGAATGTTTACATATTTTCAAATACCACAGTATGCAAAAAAAACTATTTAAAGAATACATCCTTCTGTGCCTCACAACACAGGATGTCAAGGGTCTTTGCAAAATTGACCTGGTAGTTTCATGAGAAAGGCACTGTGGCTCAGATCCAGACCATAAGTTCCCCGATTGTTGAGAATAATTGCCACTTTGTGTAACAGCTGAATTCAATCCTCCATCCCAGTACTTACTTTAATAAAATGTGCTTGGGGAAGAGAGGATTGCCATAGCAACAGCATCTTCTTTAAAAAGGAGCAGGAGACAGGCCGGTCTTACATCCCACTTCGGCTTTTTCTGCTCTGCTGGTATTTTCAGCCTGATCTGATCTTGTTGCTGCCAAGTCTCTTGGGGGC